TGCTGAATGTTTATCCAGCTATATCGAAAAAACTGATTTTTGAAATAACCGCCTGCATCTGCATTTAATACGTCTTATATTGCGCAGTTTATGGTTGAAGGACAAATTTTAAAGCCATTACGACTAAGCAAATATATAAGTGAATTCTTAAGTGTTCAAAAGACCTAACGCTAAACAAGAACCGCCGGAACAGGGGACTTTCCTCCCAAATAAAAGTTCGCTCAATACGTATTGAAATAAAGCCTGCCATGGCTAATTGTTAAGATCTCCGCTTAAACTGATTATTTGAATATGTCGGCTCTTCGCACAATAAAGAGGGGTACTTCACATTGTAAGGCGCTCCAAAACGTCATGATGTATTTGAGCGAACAAGCGTCGCTCGAGACACTTTGGTGACTTACATCGTCGGAAGGCACTTTGGAAACATGTCCGCTTCTACCTGCAATTCTCTCAGTTCCAGTTCTCTAGTCGCGGCAACCACTCCCAGCGCCCTTTCGGCAGCGGTACAAACAACCATTTTGAGCGCAACGTTCGTTGCAAACTTTTTTGGCAACATCTGTGTCTGCCTGGCTGTTTTTCATATGCAATCTCTCCGTGAAAGACCAAGCAGTCGTGTCCTTGTTAGTTTAGCAGTGTCCGACTTCTCTTCGCTGTCGTTCCTTGTATTTCGTTTGATGTGGGTGTACGAACACGAAGTCGCGTGTGAAGTGTGCGAGTATTTCTTGGGGCTGTTAACAATGCTGGTGTATGTCAGCGTTATTCACATATGTCTCCTCAGCTGCGATCGCTACGCAGCGATAGTGTATCCCTTGAGGTACACAACCATTGTCACCGAAAAACGCGTCAGGTGGGCGTTGTTTGCAGCTTGGTTTGCACCGGTGTTGTCTGTTGCGACCGCAAATTGGACGAATGGCAATACAGACCACTCTGACTACAGAAGAAGCCTCGTTGGTTGTTCGGTGACTTGTGGTAAGCGGCCTTCCTTGATATATACCTATCATCTTGCCCTCAACATGATCTTCTTTCTTTGGATCCCTTTTGCGGTGATAATATTCGTGTACGCTCGTGTGGCTAAGATCTCGTGGTCTCAGAGCAACAGAGTCGAACCTGGCGAGAACCTGAATCTCGAAGAAGCAGAAATGAAGAGGAAAAAGGAAAAAGAAATGAAGTGGATGAGAACCATAGGTAAGATGTTTAGAGGGCTTTATAACTTGCGCAAGCTGTGGTATATATATTGACTTGAAGGGACTGCGTCGAAATAACATCTTCATGCCAAATTGTTCTTATCATAAGATTCAAACATATTAATCATCTGTACCACAAAAATAGACCTCGCGCCATAAGTACACACTGTATCTGGTTTCTGGTCGAGAAAATCACCTGGTTCAAGACGTTAGACCTCGGAAATTATACCCTGCGCTAGGTCCACAACGAGCAGGAAACGTGCGAGGGGGGAGGGGTGCGAAAAAAACAATTTCGTCCGTACTCTTTAGATAACCAACCAATCCCAGCATTCGATAAAAGTAGCGCGAAAATTCCTCGTGTCGTGGAGGAAGCGCCAATGCTAAAGCAACCATCGGCGAAAATACAGAACAGACGGGGTCCTTTTTCTGCTCACTCGGCGAGAGTATCCACCGACTTCATTATCAGGAGCTTTGAGAAGTGTGAAAAATACAATAACTTCGTTTGATTTGTTTTATTTTCCAGCGATGGTAATGGGTGCGTTTGTATTCTGCTACATCCCAGGATTCATCTATGTGATAATCGCAGCAAAACTTGGTCCCAGTCAGGTTCCTAACCTAGTTCGCTCGGCCTCCGTTGTGATAATTGTTGTCAACAGCGCTCTGAACCCTATTATCTACCTGATCAGATCCAGCGAATTTCAACGTGGTTTCAAGAGAATTTTCCGATTTCTCTTGGTCACACACAATACTACTGTCAACACAATCTCCATGCCTACTGGCGGTAACCAACGGGATCTGTAAACGCTAGTCAGTATCCGATGAGCTGCCATCTCCTTCTCCTGCATCTATTAATTAGCTAATTTGGTTAGACAGGGGACGTTAAAGAACCCACTCACGAGATTACTGTGATGTGGTCTGGCCTATTTACTGGGAACTGGGGGGAGGGGGCATCTTCAAATACGTTTCCTTCGATTGTTTGTAAACTGCTAATGCAGTCCGGCCAAAGTCCCCCGAAAAGTGTTGTGATGCGCATTTGATCATATCCTCATATCCACATGTTAATTTGCGCAATATGAATATTAAATTATTCTTATTATTATCATTATTATCTCTCACGAAATCAAGCTACTTCTGCCAAGACTCGATCGAAAATCAGTACTATAACCGTAGTTAATCTGAGAGACGCGGTAGTCTAGCGGTCATCGTGCCGAACTCCAGGTTAGAAGGCCTGGGTTCGAGCCCTGGCCGGGTCTTTCTGCCTTGTACATGAATAAGGTACTTTACTCCTACAATGTCTCTCCCTCTCACTTTGCTTC